TCCACGATGTGTTGCCTATTGTTTTTTTTTTCTTCTGTACATTAACAAATTTCTTTCCAGAAATCTTACTCCGATCAAAAACCGACGACGCGAGTGCTTATTTTTATCAAATTTTCTAAAATTATTGCAAATTATACGTTGTATATTTAAAAGTATCGTTATAAGTTCCTATAGATACGCCGCTGGCTTCTTCGCAACATTCAGGATGTAAAAAATCGTACATAAATAAATATTATATAATTTATTTTAAAAAATATATATATATAGTCTTTTCAGAAAACTCGTTCCGAAGGTAAACTTCACGTGGCGGCTGTAATAATATTGTCACTTATCGAAAGTGCCTACCTACTTCGTATATATACGTACGAAAAACTGTCAAACGGATGAACAACGATGCACGGCTAAACCAAAACTTATTTTTCGCCCGACTGTTGTTAGTCTTAGCTATATAACGAAATTTTTGAAGAATTCGTTAAGGGGTTTTTTTATTTATTTTTTTTTTTTTTATACATGAAGCGACGTTAATCTCCATGTCTCGGGGGGAGGGGAAAGAAGGAAATAAGTTGGTTGCGCGCGAGAATTCTACGAAAATAAATTTTTAAATCCCACTTAAAGCTTTTAAAGGCTTCTCGTCTGTATATACATTTTTCGAGGGGGCGGAATTCTGGTACTACTCGGCTGTCATATTATTTTCTTAGATTCTCCTGAGAGCATCACAGACGGCGGTTCGTACGACCTTTGTAAATAATATATAAATAGTAAAGAAAGAAAAAAAATTAAAACTGTGATACGATATGATATCAAATAGTATTATCTTTTAAAGACAACTCGCATACTATATAAACACAAACGTGCTAAAATGATCGATTTAATAAATATAAAAATACATTTTTTCCTCCCTGAAATTATTTACTAAACTAGGTGAAAATCAAAAAATGCCCTTCTCGGTGCAACTAACAGAGAAAATGTCCAACTGAAATCACTTCCGAACGAGCGTCTGGCAGTATATTTGTGAAGTTGTTAATATGGTCACAAAAAAAAATAGAAATAAAAAGCTGTCCTAAGATGTTGTACTATTGTAGGTGGGAATTTGGGAAGGTGGGATACAGAAGTGAATGGAGTTCTGTTGGTAGTAATGCCAAGAAGAAGTCTTTGTCAACAATAAGCATGTCATATTAAGGTAAAATAACTAATTAGGCAGTATATATTTTCTTTAATAGTATTTGTTTAATATTATACCATTTTCACGGGTTTTGCTCCGGTTTTCCTATACATTGACAAAAACTCTCGGGAACATCAACAAATCACCTCTTTTAAGTACCTTTCCAGTTAGATTTTCTTTCAGAAAAAGTGATTTCATTGTATATTGGAGCAAAATTGCTAGTAGAAAAGTTTTTCACTGGAAAAAAAAATCTTAATATTGTACTAATATATTTCGTACGTTTTTCCGTTTTTCCTCGGTTTTTTTTTCAATTTTTCACGTTTAATGAGGAAATTCCTGAGAAAATCTAAAAATAACCTCCTTAAAAGAACAAACTCCAGAAAATTTCCTTTCAGAAAATGGTTTATATCGTATACACCGGAGTTAGCTTCCTGGTAGAAAAAATAATAAAAATGATAAATAAACATCTTTGTAAAACAAATGCATTCTTCGCTACATTCAGAATCTAAAATCATAAATACATACATCGGGATGAATATTTCCTAGATCAAAGGTTCCCGAGAAAAATAAAAAAAAAAAACAATTTTTAAATACTACATTTTTAAAATGAATTTAAAAGTAAATAATCATTAAAAATATTAGTATAAACATCTCTCACGTATATGTCCATGATAACATTGATGTTGAATACGAGTATATAGTAAACCACAGCATACGTTATGATTTAAATGTAGGTACCATACTCATTACTATATTATCATTCAATTTCGGTGTTACGACGATAATATTATTAATATCTACGTAGGAAAACAATTTCTAAAAACATTTCTCATTATTATTTACTTTTTATTTCATATTAGAGAAATGGTGTTTCAAATTGTTTCAATTTAATTATTTTTAGTCATATATCATGGAGTATATATCATTTTTCCATCCTTTCAAGAAAATTTTAAACGTGACCAAAAGTTTTTTGGGGCATTTGTCGATGTTTTAAATGCTTTTCAATAGTCATATAGGGTGAAAAGGGAAAAAATGGTTATTTTCCATTATATACATTGTCATCGAAAATAAGAGCACGTGCAAAATTTTAAGTTGATCGGACTACGGTGGGTCAAAATCGATCATAAGTTTTAAATTTTTTTTTCTCTTTACACTTATTCGTGTGTAAGTTAATGCATAGTAAAAATATTAACGTAATAATTTATTATTAAATATAATAGATTTATTTTTGAATAATTTATTCTAAAATAAACGAAACTTAAAATATAACATATTTTTTTATATATATATATATATGTGTGTGTGATGAATATGACTACAAATTGTTACCTATGTAAAAACATCATATTTAATTACGAAACCCTATAGCAGATATTGCGTGTTTTTTTTTTATGTTACCTACTATTCTATTCTTATAAACAGGGTATCTTTTTTTTCTTTCTTTTACTATTTGTTTTTCTATGTCGGAGATGTGATGCGTATTTTATTATTAGAGCGGACGGTGTCATTTCGAAGAGTGATAGACCCTCGCAACCAAGTTTTGATGCTTGACGTGTAGATTGAGCTGCAAGTCCGCTGTATATATAATGTATGTACAGTGAACTTTCCCAAGAGAAATCATTACTGCTGGATATTTTATGAGTTTGTCGTGTAGACCAACACGCAAAGACGTATGTTAGGTATACACAAACATTTTATTTAAGTGAGATGGAACAGCCCAAAGATGAATAGAAAGAGAGTTTCGGTAAACGTACAAAAAGTTGTTTTTATATAATATTACCTAAGTATTATTGTAAAGGTGTTTACATATTTACCACGAAAATAATTTTTATACCTCGACAATTACAACGTCCCCACTCAAAAAAAAAAAAAAAAAAAGTTGTATTGCATTGTGAATCACATAAATTCAAGAGTTTTATAAATATTTTATAACCTATATACTTTTTTTGTTTTAAATATTGTTCAATCCCATCGTCAACTGTGCATTTCTTTTTTTATTTCGATGCAAAGAGGCTAGTCATACTTTGAAAGAAGCAATCAGTGTTGTTAGTAGGAAGTTTGGAAGGCACTTTTGAACATAGTGTAATTTTTGTAATTGCATACTGAAAACAACGATGAATCATTGCAATTAAAAAAACGAGTATGAGCAGATCTATATAAGTCGTAAGGTTATTATAATATATAAGTCATGTTTTTCTCGCTAGCAGTCGAAGAACGTACGTTTATGTAGGGAAAATTTGAAGTATTCTTATTCATCGAAAATTTCTAAAGCACATCTCTTGTGAAACTAATAGCATTTTTTCGCTACTTTCCGTAAAGCAAAAAAAAACCATTGTTTATTCCCTACATTTCTCGTCGGGTTTCACATAACATATGAGCATTATAATTTTACGGAAATAATTTTAAAGTAGTCCGTTTAATAACTACACACTTTAATGTCTTCATAGCAGATATGGGTAGTATTCCGATTAAATATTCTAAATATTTTAAAAATATTTTTTTTTTTTTTAAGTTTTCGAAAATTCTGTATTCTTAAAAGTAAGTAAGTAAGTAAGTAAAATAATTCTTAAAAGTAAGCAATCTTAAAAAATATTTCATAAAACGAGCATCCGCTCAATGTGGGCAAATGAAACTTTTTCTAAGCAGCCAACTGTATTTCTTCTAGTCTCGGAGTCTATCGGTAATTTATTTTACTTTGAAATTTGAGGTGTACTTATATATAGTGATAATAATATATGTACAGTGTAACTTCAAAATAACGTCTTCCATTTGTGTGTCTCGATGATTTATAAACGCGTCGACTGAACTTTCATCGCGTCTTTTATATATATATATATATTTTTTATGATCGTCGTGATCATTGTTTAGGTGAGCGTAACACGTTTCTATCAAAAGTGGATATTTTCTTCTTCTATCATTAGTCGTTTTCACCAAATGTGTACCTTCCTGTTTTCCACCGAAATAATTTCTATACTATGCTTATGTTAAAAACTGTAATAAATGAATCTAAAAAAAGTAATTGTTTTTGGATTTTTTTTATGGATGTGAGGTTATCTTTGTCTTCAGTTGGGATGTAAAACGTTTCTTATAAATATTTCGAAAAAATTCGAACTGAAAAAGGCGTCCAGGATAATGGGGATTGGTGTAGCCACTGTTACAGGTAATTTAATGTATATCTGCTAGTAACGATAAACCATTGCTAACGAAAAAACTATTCTGAGCAGAGTTCAGTTGATAGTGATGCATTGTCAATTATATATATTTAATATTATAGTAAAATGATTAAATAGTTAAATTATTAAGTAAATAAATAAATATGCATTTGTATTTTCTTTAATAATATATGTTTAATAATGTTGTACCGACTTTCCAGTTTTTCCTACGTTTTCCCATGTTTTTTCCCGGTTTTTTACATTTGCTGGGAACACTTTTTGGAAAATCGAACAATGACCACCTAAAGTAATCCCCAGTCCAATGTATTTTTAGAAAAATTGATATTGTTATAAAATGGAGCATAATTGCTGGTAGAAAAGTTGCCCACAGGAAAAAAATAAATAAACTTCTTTGTAAAACCATATGATTCTTCGTTCCACTAGAATCTAAAACATATACATTATTAAATTTTATTTGTCGGATATACCTGTTTATTGAATAATTCAATACATGATTATACAGTAAGAAAATGCCTAAAAAGAAAAATGAACAAATTATAATGGACAACAAAAGTATAGAATAATTAGAAGGTAACATATTGCTTTTAATAAAATAATATAGTAAATATATTTATTAAAAAAAAATTTTGTTTTAAATTTCAGGTACGATTTTATGAAATGTATAACTTACAAATAGAAAAAAAAATATCAACTAATTATACATTATATTAGTACAAAAAACATAGCTAAGTTATATCATAATGTTATCGTTTTTTTTTTTTTCAAATTTAACAATTTTTTTTTAGTAAAATATAATATTTTCTACACCAAACAATATCGAAACCATCCTTTTCGCCGACAGACCGGATTTATTCACCGACGACCATATTTTCTTAAAAAAAAGTGTGATGATCCTAGGGATGGGTTTAGCCACCGTTGTAGGTGGGAATTTAGGATTTAGGAAGGTATGACACATAAAGTTATTTAATTTAAATTTGTACTCATCGGTAAACCTGGAAACAGGTAATGGTAACGGGTAATGGAAGACAGAACAGTCCACTTTTGGTGGAAACAGGTACTACACTTTATTTTTTTGAAGTCTTCACACAACCTCGTACATGTTTATTTGGTCTATTTTCAAAACGTCGTATTAGTAATTAACCATTTACTATTATAGGTTTCCTTGTATATATTTTTTTTTGCCCTTTAATAAATAAAGGTACACGCGATGTTTTATTCACCTCATATAATTTATATGCATATAAAAATGAATACGTGTGTGTAATTATTGTATATGCGTTATTACACTATTCATCGGATAATAATGAAACGTTGGGAAGTGGTTGAGTAGACTCTTGCGTAGTACATCTATGAAATTCGTTGATACCCCACTATCACCCACAAAAACCGAATTTTAGGTACTTTCGGTACGATGATAATTTTATTTTTTTGTTTATGGGTTACGTTGGTACTACTAATAAAAAAACAAATATTATTAGTTTATCACCGGGTTGTCATGGGCAAATTATTATTCTCACTGACACGGTCCGAATCGAAATTTAATAAAGGTAATGAAAAAAAAAAGAAAAAATTTGCACGGGTAACGCCGGGCGGTACTACTTGTAAATAATAAAATACAAATTGTAAAAAAACTTTAGTAAGTTTGTGATATTAATACGCATATTGACAGTCTGAAAATTCTGAAGAACTCGGTAAATCTCAGAAAACACTACTCTTGACGATAATAAAGCACCTACCAATATGCAAAATAGTACGTTATTTCGTAAAATAAATATTCAATCACAGTTTTTCCATAGTGATTTAATATACGCCTATAAATATATTTTCTTGAGCATGGTAAAAATTAAAATATTCATATTCGATGATACTTATGGACGTTGAATTTCTTTTGAATAAAATAAATTGACGATATATACCTACTTATATGGCTATTGAAAATAATTACTTTTGTAAAACTTTTATTTTATAAATTCTAAAATAAAGTGAGTGTCAAGTAGCAAGTTGATAAAAAAAAAAAAATAAAATAGGAAAACCGGAAAATTAAAACGAACAAATTTACGACGTACGATTTCCAAAAATGGGAACCAATACCCATTTTGCAGTAGTCATTTCCGAAGAGACAGTCGATGTACTTTGTAAACCACTCAGCCATAAAAGAAAAGTATATCGATCACTGAAAAAATTCGAAAATCTTCGATCGATCCGTGAAAATCACTAAATTGTAGTAACTATATTAAGTTTACACGATATTCGAGAAACGAATACAGTTATAGGTATCTAATTACTCAGAAGTTTTATGTTTGAACAGTTTTCTCGATATCAGTTTACATTATGTGTTATTATTGTACTTGCGCTTTTGGTATCGAGAAGAAATTCTACAATAAGTCGACTTCGAATTTTTTTTCAAAAGACATTGAAATCCATTGCCCATAATATGTATATGTATGTATATACATAAATATTTTGATATAATTTTACTAAGATAATATGAGATATGTAAGCTTTGTTCATTTATATGATTACGAGTACATACACCGAGTGGCGAGGAGTATAAAATTTCAATTTCCCCATAATATTTTCGTTTTGCTTATGTAGAAACCATTGCACTTAAATTAAATAAACTTATATTTGTTTATTCCGATTGATAATAAAAAACAAACTGCGTCTGAATTATATTCTGCAATCATTACAGTTAATAACAGAGACGGTTGAGACCTTGATGGGATAGGTGTTGATATTACACTCATACACCTTATTTACGTCACATTTGTTGGAAAGTCTCTCACTTTTACATCAATCGTCACTGGACACAATATAGAATCACATAGAAAAAAAAAAATTTTTAAAAAAATTTTAAATATCAAATGTAATCCACTTAAGTTGATCAACTTGTAAAATTATTAGAGAGGTATTTGTTTGTTATTTAATTTAAAACGTAAATATATATATAAAAAAAAATGGTTAAATTCGACCTAACAACCTTTTTAAAAAGTGAAATGTATAATTTATTTTAGGTGCATAATATATGGCACCTGTTCTTATTAAAACTACATAAATGATCATTTAGTACGCTAAAACTGAAATTAAATATGCACTATGCAAAATAGTAACTCTATATTTTATATTTGTACAAATATTATTATTATTATTTTTTATGGATTAATGTACCTCATTATAACTGATAACGTTATTTTTTCATTTACCACTATTGGTACGCGTGCCATAGGTTGGAACTGCTGTTCTAGCGTATTACGTTTAAAAAATACTATATATATATAATTTCAAACAAGTATCTATATTTTTGAGTGTATTTTTATTTATAATAAATACACATTATGTTATTTAAGTTAATAAAATAAGATTAATACTGTATAATTTTTAGGAAAGTTAAAAATACCCAAGTCAAAAATGGATACCATTATTTGCACAATTATGATAAATATTAATGAAAAGATCGCAAAATCGATCAATTAATTAGTTGGTTTATCGCTCGGAAATTCTGAAATTAGGTTTGATTTATTTTCCGATTCAGTGATATTGTTTTTTTGAAAGTCTGTATAAACTACAAAGTCTTGATAAGTATATTTGTCATATTTCTTAAACGTATCAGAAGCTTTATCATAATTGTCTTTTAACGAAAGTAACAACGATGTTTTATTCAGTACATACGGCTTTTCTGGTTTCAATATCCTATCAACCATCCATTTGTCAATATTTTTATCAAAATATTGCAATAGAATTTTGGTTGCATCGTTTATCATTTTGGATACGACCGGTATGATATCCTCATCCAATTTTAATGTATCTTCTTTTGGAATTTCCGTAATTTTCTTTTTTAACTTCTTATTGCGTGGTTGTGTGTCAGGTGAGTCATCCAGGTAGGGGTCTAAAAAAACAGCTAAAGATTCTATTGATTCCAACATCATTTTTCCTCGTTCTGCTTCTTCTATCCCGACGTAATCCCGCTCAAATTCGATAATACGTGACAGGAATAAATTTATGTATGTATACGGAATAAGATGAAAGCGCCATATTTCACTCTGTTCATTACGTGAAATTCCGTGCTCAAATAACTTGATTAATATATTGAAATGTTCGTACAGATAACTGAACAATTCTGGTGCGACTATTCGAAGTACATTTAAGTGATTCTTTTCTATTTGTACCACGTTACTTTCATTTAAATAACTCTGCACGAGCGAATTTAAACTCGCGTAACCATTAGGAACTTGCATGTTCTGTAATTTATTAAAATCATCGTTTTTGGGATAATCCATCAGGTATATATAATTTTTCATCAGTGGAATTGATACTTTAAACCAACTATGGACATCTTTGATAATATTTAAACTCTCTCTCATGGTGTTGGCAAAATAATTCAATGACTCGTTGGTTAATAGCTCATTGTCAATTTTATATTTTAACATATAATCTTGAAATAACCTTCTTTTATATTCCAGTTGATTTTCATTGCCATTAGTAGTATTTTGTATATCACATGTAACATAAAACAATTTTATCGTATCGTTTAAGTTTAACTTGTCATTTATATCAGAACGTTTTTCGTAAGCAATTCGAGAAATGGCTCTATCTATTAGAATCACGTGCTCCCTGATATGCCCGAGATAATATTCAAGGGGTTGTGAGGCTTTCATCCAGGTACTAATTTTATGTATGAGAAGACCGACTAGACTGCCATTGAGTGCGTTTAGATAAATTTGGGGGTTTAATGGGCAGATATTATCATCATTTTTGTAGACATCGAAGAAACCGTAATTAGGCAATTGAATATCAGTTATTACTTCCATTGGCCTCGGATTTAATTGATGGTTATTAGATGGACTTTTTAGCGATGTTTGCACGTTTTGGATGGTCCTGATGAATGCATCAGCCTTAGTTTTTATATTGTCCGGAAGAATAGTAATAATGGAAGAAGTGGTCGGAGTCATTGCCAAGGTAACCGTTGATGGACCTGGTATATATACCCAATCACAAAATAAAAGGATACTCACCACTAAAAAGATTCGAATAGCTTGCATCCTGACGATAGATCCGCAAAAGTCACTAAATTATATTAATAATATTACACGATATTCGCCAAACGAATACAGTAGGTATTTACTTACCTAGAAGTTGTATGTTCGCGATTCTATATCATTGGTTGTGTGTAACGTGTTATTTGTATTGCTTTATACCCAGATATTTGAACAGTTTTCTCTATATCAGTTTACAATATGAGTTATTATTGTACATGCGCGTTTGGTATCGAGAGTAAATTCTACAATAAGTTGACTTGTATAATTTTTTTTAAAAGGCATTACAATTTATTTCCTATACATATTGATATAATTTAACTAACATACTACAAAATATGTACGTTTTGTTCATCTGTACCACTACGAGTACATACGTCAAATGGTGACGAGTATTTAATTTCAACTTCCCAATATTACTTATTTGCTAAAGTGGACGACATGGCAATTGTATTGGAAAAAAATATGAGTACAGATTTCACACGACGGGTGGGCCACTATTTTAGATGAGAAGTTTGGAAGATAGGATATAGAGGGGAATTCAATATATATCTGTATCCAATGATTAATCTTTGAAAACGAAAATCCATTCGAAACGGAGTTCGCTAATTTAACATTCTGTATTGTATATATTTTAACGTTCATTATTATGTTTAAAATTTTATTACAAAATATATTATATTCACAATTTGATACAATTTCAACATAAAAACAAATAAAACATTAACAATACTTTAAGAAAATATAAAAAGTGGGTTTGTATTGACATTTTACATAAGGCACCTCCTTGGTTTGATTAGTTTATTGAGCCATATTCGAGAATCGGACGAACAAACTCACAATACAGTGCTTTAGTAGATTTAATAAGTGTTAGCACAAAGCTATTCTCATAACAAAACATAAAGTACTTTGAAAACACGACAATAAACCAATATATTCCTCGTTCTGCTTGGAATTTAAAAAATATTGTTCTGAGGAGTGAAGCACTATTAAATATTTTCTAATAAATGTAAATGCAAACAAGTTGTTATGAAAAAGTTGTGATATTACTAAACCATGATTCGTCACTGATTAAATAATCGATATGGTACAGGATCTAATATTTTATATACATTTTCCGTCTTCATCATTTTTTTTTTTTTTTTTTTTTTTTTTTTTTGGACTGGGGAGTTTCCAGGGTTGATAACTAAGAAAACTTCTAAAGAAATTTAAAAAAAAAAAACTGCGACCTACGCAAAACTTACACGACAATAATCCACTATAAAACTATTATACTGCTGTTATTTTTCTTATTGAAGCAAGTTTGGTCTGGTTGAAATTTTGAAATTATGTTCACAGACAGGGAAAAAACACGCATCGTAACCGAAAATAATCGAATAATAACATCGTCGTTATGCACCTTGTTGGTAAAACAGCTATAGTATAACAACAATTCAATTATAGTTATTTCATTCGTTTTCCCCGTTTGTTTTTATTTTTAAGGTTTATATCACATATGTTTTTGTAAAGGGAAGTTTTGAGGTAGGTACATTATTTTTATTTGATAAAAGTATAATTTAAATGTATCTGTAGCAACTTTTCTACCGGAAATCTTACACCGATATATCAGGTGAAACACTACTTTGGAGTTTTCATTTTTTGTTGTTCCAAGCAGTTTTCATAATAATTGGAAAATTGTTATTTTTATTGTTTTATTTTCCAAGGGGTTTTCGAAATAATAGAGAAAATCTGAAATGAAAGTATAGATAGGTAAAACGAAAAGTATTTACGGCGCACCGCGGCGTTACCGTTTTCATTGTTTTTATTATATTATCGCGATTTTTTCATCCAAAAATATTGCCCCGATCCAAAAATGACAAAATATTGAGTGTTTTTTACGGTTATTTATTCGGTAAGTACTCTGCGAATAAAATTGATACAGTAAACAAAAATTATTGAAAATTTAACAGGAGATTCCTTAAAAGTTCGTACTTTCTGGACAAAAAAAAACAATATTTGAGCTCATGTAGTATTTTATATTTTTTATAAGAGTTTTAAAATTAAATTTTGACGAAACTCGTAAATATTACGGCCTTTAAAAATATGCATACTAACTGAACTTCGCTCTGAATCGTTTTTCATTATTAACTGTTTATTTTTGGTTACAAGTTTAAGTTAAACAATTTTATTTATCCTACTTTTTAGGTATTTGCAACAGTGGCCGCGCACCCATCCCCAGTATCAACTCTTTTTTTTTCTTTTTCTATTCTTTATTTTCAACTAATTTGCGTCCACAAAATAAAAATTGTTCATTGAAATTTATATAATTACTGTTGTAAACATAAGTGCATATATCATTCGGTTTTTATCATTTAAAAAATTACATCAGATTTATGTGATATTGTATTGTTTGTCTTCGCGGTACTCATCAGCGTTAATTCGTGAGAGATTAGTGCAGTGAACATAATAATTAAAAAAAAATTTTAAATCCAGACGTGCTTTGTGACTCGGATAATCCACGGCCGCTGTCGTTTCGTGTGGGCCGCGGACATATTATTATACAAGTCGGCGGCGGTGTTCGAGTATAATTATTTTTGAAAGCAAAATGATAAATCATCGTGCGTTTTGAAAATAATCCCAAAAGCGGAGCTCGACGACGGTGATGCCTTAGAAGTGAAGTGGTTTTTTCTCGATATTTGTAAACAGTGTACGCTAAAAAAAATAAAACAATACAATAAATATAAACTAGGAGTACACCGAGTACAGATTTTTTAAATATATTGAGCAAAATTATTAGAAACAATATTGCAAGGGGATGCGTATTGCAGTGTTTGGGACGGGACCATTTTTCTCCCAAATGAAATACCTTTTTCTATCACAGACCATTTTCCAATCCTCTCCAAAATAATAGGTACTAAAATCACGTCTATTTACCTGCAAATATTATCATTTTACTCATTAATATCCTGCAGTTTATTGGTTTTTATTATAAAGTATTATATTCATAATTTTTAAGAAAATGGCAATTTATTATTTGAGTAATGAAAAAAATTGTGTTACGTTTATTTTTTTTTTTTTTTTTTTTTTTTTTTGGAGGGGGAGATTATGGTTAGGAAAATATGGTAATTCATTATTCAAGAAAAATGACAACGGCTAAATGTCGATTTGTTTTTGTGCGTACAGCTGTAATAAAAATTTTACATAACATTTTGACTGAAAAAAAGGGGACGACCAGTAAATAATTATCCCTACAACAGCTGTCTCGTCGTACATAATAGGTTGACATAAAAATATGCATAAAATTAAATTTCATATATCCGCTTAACACTGTACAAACTTACTTATTTGCTCGGTGATTTGTCATTCGGTGGTGATGATATATGGAATCTGCTATTCGGTGCTATCATGAAGTTCGTGATTCACGTAAGATTAGCCAACGGACAATAATAATGATAACGATATTCGCACGTATAAAATATTAGAAAATGGCTGCAAAAAAAACGTCCGATTTTTTTTATCTAGTCATATTATCACGTACGTTTCATCCAACTACCATAACTAAAATTTTAATATTTAACGCGAAATTAGGATGCAATTGTATGATTAACAACGCAATTTATATCCTTTGATATTTAATGTCCGTTTAAAATTAACCATTATTACATATCCGTCAAGTCGGCACCGGCACATTATGCTGCTAAGACTATACAAATAGTATCAAAATTTTGCTAGGAATTTTCTAGATTTTTCAATAGGACATTTTTGGATTTTGTTAGATCACTATCACCTTTTCAAATTTAACATCTACAACGACATACCAGGCCATAATACGGTCCAGGTGATCTAGAAAATTACCATCTCCAGACCAACCACATGACTCCTAGCTTTAACGAAGAATCTTTTCACCATAAATGTCATCAACTTCTACACAAGTAAATTTGTAGAAATGTTTCAAGGAGAAAATGTTTTTTAATTAAAACATAATTTTGGTTTAATGCAAACAATATGTTGTTGTTGACGGCAAATTTCAAACCTCCTTCGGAGACGACATGCGTTCTAGCCAAATCTAACATATTTGTCTAGATAAATTGGCATATTTTTTTTGGAATCAGAAAATGTGCCCGTGTATCTACAAAGATAGCACCGGCGTATTTGTTTTTGGATTTCCGAAGTTTAGGGGTTCTAGCAAAATCCAAAAACTGCCCTAGCAAAATCATCTAAAAAATTCCTGGCAAAAATATTATTACACTAGTTGAGTAGTCCTAGCATAATGTGCCAGTGCCAATTTGACAGACATCATTTTTACCATCTATCATACCGTACATGGCACCGTGTTGTGTGTATAATATAATATATAGGTTTGAAAACGGAAAGAAACGAAAAATATTACGAAACGTGTAACGGGCGCTGCAAACACCGAAAAGGACGAAGGCGATGACCGGGATCTTGATTAAAAGTCAAAAACCTCTTTTGCGAAAAAAAAAAAATGTTTTGTATGAATCGCCTTTTAGCGCCGGTTGTCTGCCAGTACTCGGACAAGATAAACGCTCCCGACAGCGTCTCCACCGTCACCGCCACCACTGCCGCTTTTGCCTTTGGTCGACGATGCGTCGTAAAATTTGCCGACACCGAGTTTCGGATTTACTGCGGGATGGTCGACGACGACGGTGATCGGGGACGGAATCCGCCTTCGGGTTTTTATATCTTTTTAGTTCATCGCGGAGACGGCTAGTGTTATGATGTCGTACGCTCCCCTGCCCCCCAAGACCCGCCTGCACTGGCTGCAGCGTAGTTACAGTATATTCTGCAGTCGTATACGTATTTATATACATCACGATTGCATTGTATGTTCTCCGTCGGTAAATCGCTCGATATACAGACACCTTTTATTGATTATATATTGCATTTTTCTCGGCGGACTTAATGAAAATTATATACCCGACATAATATTAGATGTGTTATAGGGATGCAGATTTCGGTATGCAATTCGCTGCATGGTTTGTTGTTTGTAAGTCGGTTACAACACCGCGAAAATACTTTACTAAGCATGCATGTATTTTACCAATGAATAACCAGTAACCAGTA